ACATTAAGCGTTTACGTACATACATATATTGTTCATTCTTACACACGAGAATCTTCTACAACTTTAGAGAATAGACGGGAACTTCGCAATACATATTTAACAGTATAAGCTGTGCATATTTCTAAATATAAACTTAATTCAAGCAAGCATCGATATTAAAATAAATATGTAATAATAAATCCGTCCGCGTAGATATACAAAATCTTCAGTTAAGGGGAAAAAAAGAATGGTTTTGGACACCGATATTTTAATACCTAGAATTTTGTTTTTCTTAAAGTTGACAAAAATATTTTGGTTCAAATAATTTCCTGTGAAAGCTTTTAAACTTTGGTTTTAGTTTTCAAATCAATGTTTATTTGACATTGATGACGAAATTTCTATGAATACAGTATTGTTTATATTGATGTATTATTTTCTTTAGTTTAAAATATTTTTGTCTCCTCGTGCACCTCAATTATCAAAATGAAATGTTAAATCTTTTGAAATTTTTAATTTCTGATGGGTAAATCGTTTTCTAAAACAAGCATAGGATACATTTTGATGGATTCTAGCTTTAGTATAATCACGACAAACCTTCTATGCATTTTTATGAAACATATATTATATTTAAAGTATAACACTGCGAAGAAAACGGAAATATATTTATTCCTATGCATTACCTATAAAAAACATAACATTATTCAGAATATATATATCTAAAATCAAAATCGATGTTAAAGGAAGTATTATACTTTCGTTTAATTTGCTTAATGCATAGAAATATTTTTACAGTATCAGAAATAATTAGGGAAATGATAAGGAAAATAGTATAAGAGACAAATACTACGGAAATGTCAACCATTTGTGCTGGGAAAAGGAACTGCACCAGAGTAAAATCAAGCACTGATGGTTTATATCTTGATTAAATGTCATCCAATCAATCAGAATGTACCACAGAAGTATAAATCCCATAAATGTACAGACACTGATTTATAGTAGTAGTAGTAGTGTATATCCAGTTATGGCTCCCAGGACTGAAATATCGCATACAAATCGAATAGAAATCGAAATTTTAATGGTCCTTATTGCGGTAAGACTCTATGTTTCAGTAAGAGTTATATGTAAGCTTCTGAAGAGAGAACATGAAACTAGCTCTGTTGATAATAAAAGTGGCTGAGGTAAGAAACCAAAACTATCCAAAAATGGATGATAAGTATCTCAGAATATTTCTTTATGATATAGACGACGGTTGGGTACAGATCATTCCAATTGCCCTGCTGTAAATATAGGCGTGAATGTTCCTTCTAGTACAGTAAGATAAACAACAGTACAAGATGGTCTCAATGGACGTGTAGTAGCTCATTGAAAAATCGTTGCTGAGAAGAGGTAACCATATAAAAGCTCGAAACGGGCACCAGGTCACAAACAGTGGAATAAGAGAAGCTGGAAGTGTAGAATGCAAATGAACCAAAGTTCGATTTGTTCAGCAACTATCTACAGTATTTTGTTTATTGGTGATGAGCAGAACAGTATCATAGACAATGTACAACATTTAGAGTAAGGCATAGTGAAGGATCAGTACAAGTTTCGGGCTGTATCTCAGCCAACAGTGTCAGTAATATATACAGCGTTGGTAGCTCCCTGTCTTCTGACAAGTGCAAGCAGGTTCGTATCCATCGAACCATTTCCCTCAGGAACACAACTCGCAGGCTGAATTCATCTTCCAGCAAAATAATGACCTCAAGCGTACAGTAAATATAGTGAAACGATATATTAATGGTCAAGTGCCAGATGTAACATATACATTGATATCATGGCTTGCACAAACTCCAAATATGAACATTCTTGAGGTTGTATAGGCTTGTGTAAAAACTAAAAAAAAGTCAGAAGGCGACCAAATAGTTTTTCTGAATTGTGTGGAGTAATACAGGACAATGAAAACAATGTTTTTTTCATTTGTACTCTGATAAACTTTATGGGAGTATGTAAACAAGGTGTAGTACTCTGTGTAGAACAAAAATCTAATATTCAAAACATTATTACATTGTATAACTTACTTGCTTTTCTTTCTTATTTTACTCCCTGAAAATAAGTGCGAATTCAGTCATGATAGTGATAAATTCTGGTTTCAGATATCTCAAGGAGTTCAAATCTCAACCCATCAAAGAATTACCCCTGACTCACACTTTAGGAGTTGTTATGAATATTGTTTCTGAAAATGTTGCACTACTTTCAAAATATAACTTAACCATAATCTCGTTGCTTCAGAAAATATAAAAGATTCTTACCAGTTTCAGGTTCTTACAATAATAGTTAAATGTCATAGAGATTTATTTATGGCTAAGAAGTTATTAGCTTTATACGTTCCTCGTCTAAGAGGTGTATAGAACAATTATGTTTTCATTGCTATGGAGTGTGTGTTATATAACCGTTGTTCGTTTATTTGGCTTCATTTTGCACACATAAAATACACTAGAGTGAATTGTGCCATTCATTTTTGTCTATTGTCAATATGATTTCATACTAGCCAGAACTTATGATCATTTATCCTTAACCTAAGACTGATATCAATGCAGGATATTGGACGTAAGTATTGTAATGTAACTGACTGGTTCAAATACTCTTCATGATGCTACACTTACAATATTTTATTCATATCGAAGGACTTTGTTCGTTTCAACAAATCAATGAAATAATCACAAATAAATATATGAAAATCAAATTAAAATCACATAAGCAAAATTTAAAAAGTCGATTGATGACTGCCTGGAAGGTACCACACTCAGTCTTTTGATGATAACTGATTGGCAAATACTACACTTAACCACTCGACGATGAATAAC